CGAGGAGTCCGTCCGCCCCCCGACCGTCCGTTCGTCCGCCCGTCCGTCCGCCTGTCCGCACGCCTTCCGGTCCTAGGACTTGGCAAACTCCTCGTCCCCCCTCCCGAAGTCCCGCCCCGCCGCCGGCCGAAGGTCGCGAGAACGCCGTGTGGACGTGCGGAGGAGGGCACAACGGAAACCCGACGCCGCATAGAGCTTAAGTTCCTCGTAACAACACTCTAAGTTTCTGACAAGGCTTTAGATAAGGGCAGAGAGAGCAACGCTCTTAAGCCCCGCGGGGGGTGGCCCTCAATACGATAGAGTGCGCGCGAGGGCGTGGCGTGGCGCGGCGTGGCGCGGCGCGGATGGTGGCATGCTGCCCAGTGATATGAGTCACTCCGAACAGCTGCACGGACACACGGTGGCACGCACAGAGGAGGGGGCGAGGGTATTAGTTGAGCGGGGAAATCGAGAAAAAGAGCGCGGGGTAAAAGCGGGAGAATGTGGAGAGGACACAAATTAAAAGAGGAAAGGAAAGAAAGAAAAGAAACCGGGCTGGGCCCATGCTGGAGCGGGTGAAAACGACGCACAGCGATGTCAAAGGCAGCACTGAGCCGCAGATGAAAGTCCTGGTTTTGTAAAGGGGACGCCGAAAGGAGATGAAATAAGCGGCGCCTCGCTGCGATCTCTACAAGCGGGAATAAAGGGGCGTTGGTTGAAAAGGGCCCACCTGGAATTTTTGAACTGCGGTCCAAGAAAGCAATCGTAGTATGTGCAACTTCTTGCTTTTCTATGACCAAATCTAATAATCAGACTAAAAGCACCACAGGATAAGGGGTAGGTTGACGGCTACGGGGTACGCCAAAGCGAGGCTACATTCTCTTAAGCCTCTTTTCGACCTGTCTGTCCTGCCTTTCAGTGGCCGAAACAGAAACAACAGAACAAACCCTCGACCTCGAAAAGACGTCTAAAAGGGTTTGTCAAATGTCACACACAAACGTGTCGGAGTACGTGACAATGCATACAAAATTGAGTGTAGCACTAACACATTAACAAAGATGTGTGATTAAT